AAGCTGTTTTTTGCTGGCTTGGTAAATCTAAGTATTAGAATAACCACCAGCGTTTGGGGTTTGTCTGCCCCATTTTGTTTGCAGTTCACCCTGATGGAGTGATCTCAGCGGGTTCCCACGGGCAGCACCGTCACACTCATATATGCACATTTGCTCCCATTTTAAAAACATGGTGGCTTGTTGATAAAATAATTCTGTAATTGCACCAGGAGCCTTGGCTCATCAATGCATAGTTCAGACTCAGTTCTTCACTTCAACTCCATTCTGTGCTTTCTGTCAATAACTGTTTTACATTAGTTAAAATGCTTCTTTCAGCCTCTCACCCACTCTGGACAACTTAAGACTTCAACCCAGGGTATGGGACAGCATAACATGAGTATGTGGGGGAAGGAGGAAGAGAGAACAGAGGGTTTTCCATGCTCCTGTGCAAATTGTTAACACCCTCTCCCCCATAGCTACAAGCAAATCTGTTTCTTGCGCAAAAGAATAATGACTCACCATTTTTGTTATTTAAACAAATGGAAAAAAATCCATCTGTTGCTGGGTGTTAGCAGCCAAATTGTATTTGTCTTAACCCAAAAGTCTATTTGATAATAATAAAAGTCCTTGAACTACAAAAAGGAAGTGGAGTTAATATCAGTGATCACTCTACAATGAAACTTCCAGCTTGGGAATCTGATCCACCTCTCCAGTATGGAAGGTGTGGAAAAGGTGAGTAAATGAATCCAAAAAGGGTGAGAGTTGGCAACATTCTGAAGAGAGGGATGCTGGAGCTGAAAAACATCTTAAAAGAGACCTGCTGCAAGTACTTAAAGCTGTTGCCATTATCATCTCTTCAAAATATGGAGATACGGTAGTACCGATTTATTTCCCTAACATTCATGTCAGAATTGGGTGATTTAGAGATCACACTATGCCTTCAGTGTGACATATATGTAACCGACGCGCCCCCTGCTCCACCCTCCAGGCAACTGGGCTCCAGTTTCTTTTTATGTAAGAGGCCACTGGCAATGGGGATCTTAGGAGGCATGGAGTGCAAGGTAAATGAAGGCAAGAGAGATTTGGTGCGGGAGCAAAGGGAAGCAGGAAAAATGGAGTGGAAGAGAGGCAGAGTGACAGAAGGCTGGGGGAGGTAGACTAAAAGGTTAGAGAAACATCTTTTGAGTCACAACCGTAGAGGATATTACAGAATGGTAAAATTCATGCATTTCCCCCCCACCCCCTTCCCATTCATTTCTCAGCAAGATCCCATGCAAACTCTCTCTCTCACACTCACTCACTCACTCTATGGTAGCTGTGATTCTGTCCTTACAAAGCCATACACATCCTCCCCTTTCACTCTCCATCAGGTATCAATCATATGTCTACACTGGACCCAGAAGGTATAATTTCCAACGCGAGGAGACATAGCCACACTAGCTCTGATCGAGCTAGTGCACTAAAAATGGAAGAGTAGCCAGCTCTAGTGTAGCTATATCCTTAGTGTCAGAGCACCGGTATCATTTCGAGACCTCTCCCGCACGATGTAATGACTTTTGTGCTTATTCTCCATCTCCGCTTCGTACCCAAACATCCTTAAGAAGCTTTGCCAGTTGAACCAATCAAATATAAAGTTCCACAAAACAAGCACTCTACATCTAATTTCCTTATAGCAGTATTTCACATATTTTGTAAAACAGAAACAAAGGAAATTCCCAGATTAACCCCTCTCCCCGCAAGGAACCATAGCTGAAATAACACTGTGGTGACAAAGACGCCTCAATGAACTGAAAACAAAATTATAATTGTGTAATCGAATTAGGTTTTTTTTAAAAGGACAAAAATGTTTGAAAGCAAAACATTTACAAATTAAGTTTCTGCACATTAACTGTAATACTGTACCAATGCCCATTTTCTACCTATTACTTACTACCTAGAGCAGCCCCTTCATTTCTAACTACCAGACATTATATAAATTTCCAATATTAAAAGGCAACTCTTTCTTCTTTTAACTGTTTAAATAAACTTAAGAACCACTTTCTACCCATCTCAGGCAAACCACCACACATATCTCATTTGGTCCAAATATGTGTGTGTAGAACAGAAAGAAAAAAAAACCTTCTCCTAACGGTCTCATAGACTTATAGACTTTAATGCCAGAAGGGACCATCATGATCATCTAGTCTGACCTCCTGCACACTGCCGGCCACAGAACCTCACCCACCCACTCATGTAATAGACAAATATTCCTCTGTAGAGCAAAAACCAAAATTTACTGCCTCCACTGTGAGAAACTGCCAAGAGGAGTTATTAGCACTTACCAATGCGAAGAAAAGAAGATACAAGCACCAAAAGTAGTTGCAAAGAAGCCACATATAAGTCACAGCAGATATTCTCTGCCAAATGTAACAGACCAGCCGCCACAAAAGATATGCTAAGAGGAAATATCTTATTAGAGGGGCAAGCCTCACAGACAAGCTAGGAAGTTAATATGAAAGGTACCCTTGATGGACAGGCTGTTCCAGCATGTTACAAGCAACTACTATATCACACTCCACTGTATGTACCTTACTAATCTGTAAGATCTCCATAAACAGGCCTCAGATGCACTCTTGCCCAATCTGCTCTACAAAAATTGGATGCATAGGCTGAGATAATTCTTGTAGAACATAATGTGGTGATGTGAAAAGCTTCTAAAGTTGTTGCAATACTTATACCACACTAGTATCCTGACTAGGACTATTACCACTCTAATTGAAATCAGTAGGATCAGTACTGGAATCATTATTCATGTTATTTATCCTAATGCTATAGAATTAAAATTATAATTTTCCTAGCTTTCAAATATATAGGTCACTGGGTAGCAGGCCCACTGAGGAGCTCAGGCCTGGCTAGGAAATTTAGAATTTTAATTCTATAGCACTAGAATAAATATCTGTCACAGGCTCAGCTAACGAGAATGAGCCAACAGAGATCCACCCACGGGACCATTAGAGTTACTAAGAATCACCAGGATACAGGGAAGTTGAGCCAGTGTCCCCTTCTCTTAGTCTTGTTGCATATACTGGCCACAGAAGAAGGGTGGTGCAAGACCAGCCTTAGATGTTCTATTCCACCTGATGATCTTGCCACATGGGTAATCCTCCTGTAGTTGGCTAAGCCAGTTTCAGGGCAGCTTTGCACTGGCAGAATCGTGTCAAGCTTCCCAGACAAGGAGAGAGCCTGGTTCCACCTCCTGTTCTTATCTTCCTTCAAATAGAAACCTTACTTTGGTAAGTCTAGGGAGAAGAATTGGCCCTTACTTTGTACTCTTGAATTAAATTTTTTAAAATATGCTAGTTTCTTCTGTAAATGTTGTTGTCAAGAGTTATCACATTATGACAACTACAGTTTCCAGTTTGATCTCATATCTCTCATGTAAAACCACAGAGAGCAAAGAACATCCAACCACAGAAGTGATATTTTAAAAACATATATTAGCTCAGTTCAAATACAGAAGTAAGAAAAGTTAATTTAAAATGTTTGTATGGGGGGACAAGAACACTAATTAAACATCCAGAACTCATTCACAAATCTGTACCTTCAAAATAAGCAAGAGAGATTTAATTTCATAGTGAAAGTTTTAAAGTATTCAGCAGTTCCAAATGACATTTCAATAAGAAAGTTTAAAAAGATTCCGTAGTAAAAGATTTTGTTGAATGTCAGGTAAATATGATTGAATTAAAAATAGCCAATGGTTGTAACTTATATGGAGAAAATAACCCAGCCAAATGTGATGTATGTTTTTTTTAAAAGTGCGCGCTGCATGCTCTTTTTACAGAAAAATCTGTGAGAGCTCACCATTTTATTTATGCAAGAGCATTCTTTTAATCTTACCTACTGCTCCCTACAGTTTTTATGAACATGCAATTAAAAAATGAAAATTAAAAAAAATCTGTGAAAAATAGTGGTAGAAAAAAATCATTTCCCAACTAGCTCTAGGAAAACCCATCTAATAGTCTGTGGCTTTTCCAACAGATTCTACTTTATAAAACCAAAGAAGCAATAAGCAGTAGTGCCTATACAAGGTAGTGCCTTGTTGGATCTTTGGACTCAGCCCTGCAGTTGAAGCAGCTGCAGGTGCAGTCATCGCCCATGTGGAGGGAGTTGCAAGAGCAAGGCTTGCTTTTATCTGCACAACTAGGTGCAACAGGATAGCAACAATGTCAAGGTGCAACAGTACAGGACAGCAGCCTTCTCAAAGTGCTCCAACCTTGACCTGAGTGCATGGAGGGATAATTCTGGTTCCATGGCCACTCACAGCTCCTCTGCCCAGTGTGCTAATGAGAGGGCCATCTATAGCAATTTGCCCTCAGAGATCAAATGGCGCATCACTCTGTCCCAGTGCTTAGGTCCCCATGACATGGCACAATCGGACGCTGTGTGGATGTAACAGTACGTGGCCTCTCTCAGCTGGATTCCTTGAGATGCTTTACAAATACAGTCATTTCACAAAGCCTCATAGGGCCTAGGAGAAGAAGGGGACATAACAAAAATAATAGTACTACGTCAGGGTGCAACAGCACCCTGTCAGATTGTGCTGGGGCAACACACACAATGTCATCGCCTGTGTGTGAGAGAGTGTCTGTGTCTGTCTGACGCGCACAATGTCATTGTGTGTGTAATAGAGAGAGTCTGTCTATCTGACACACACAATGTCACTGTGTGGGTGAGTCTCTGTCACACACACAGTGTCTGAGAGAATGCCTGTGTCTCACACAAAATGCCATCATATGTGTGTCGGTGTCGGTGTCTCACACGCACACAAAAATCTCTTCCTGTGTGGGTCAGATGGAAGGTCCCTCTCCCACGGTCTAGCTCCCCACCTGTGGTCCCTTTAAGAGAACGCACACGTCCGGGTCTCCGCCTGTGATGTCATTCATCTCGTCCAATCACACAAGGACATGTCGCTTGGGAGCCAATCCGAGTGGAGGGAAGTGGGGTTTGTTGCCATGGCGACAGTAGCCGGGCCTAGGCCCCGGCTGGCGGAGGGAAGCATGGCGCGGGAGCGGGACCTGAGCCGGGGGCTGGAGAGCCTACCCGTGTCCGTGTGGCCGCCGTCCGAGGAACCCCCGGCCTTCCAGGTAGGCGGCGGCTGCGGCCCGGCACAGAGCAGGAGCAGGCCTCCGCGGCTGGGGAAGCAGCTGCCGCGCCTGAGAGACCGAGGAGCGTCGGCCTGGGACGCGCGGGTCCAGAGCATCCCCCGGGAAGCCTGGGAGCCGAGCGCGCCTGAAGCGCCGCTGCCGATTCAGAGGCGGCCCGGCTCGCTGGTGCCTATGGCCGAGCTCTGGCCCTGCAGGCTCGCTGGGCGGGGAGCCACGAGCCCAGCCCTCTAGGTGCAGGGGTAGGATCCGTGGCTGGGACGAGCAGGGCCCTGCTGGTCTCGCCCCACGCTGTCAAATCTGAATGCACAGAAACGAGCTCGGGGCTCGCCCGAATGTTTCACTGCGTGCTGCTAGAGTACTTGGTGAGCACGCTTGGGCCGTGTGATCTGCGGTGTCTTGTTCCAGTCCCCTCCTGCAGTATATGCTGTATTGCATTAGAGGGCACTATGGTCTTCGCCAAGAGCCCTCTCCTTGCAGGAAAGTTCAGCTGGTACTAAAAACAAATAACCAAACACACGCACACACAAACTGCATCAGATTAAACAGATGCGTTCCCTGGCTGGGGTGAGGGAAATACACGTTTAACTTTGAAAGCAGGGTATAAAATGGTGCTTGTACAAACAGGTGCCATTTCCGTGTTCCATAAATATTTAATAGATGCAAAGGAAGTTCTGATTGTTTGCAGGGCCTGCTCCAGCATTTCTGCTGCCCCAAGCAAAAAAAAAAAGCCACAATTGGCGGCAGCAATTGGAAAAAAAAAAAGCCGCTATCGGTGGCGGCAGTTCAGCGACAGGTCCTTTGCTCCTAGAGGGAGTGAAGGACCTGCCACCCCTGAATTGCTGCAGGTGCCGCCCCTCTCCCTTGGCCGCCCCAAGCACCTGCTTGTTAAGCTGTTGCCTGGAGCTGGCCCTGATTGTTTGCCTCAATCCTGAAACTTTATACCCAGTTTCCCGTTGGCATCCTCAGGCGGGATGTGGTTATTATTAGTAGGGAACTGTGTGCATGTAGTTGTAGGATAGGGGCCCTGAACGGGTAAACATTCTAATGTGTCCCTTCTGAAACAAATCAGGGCTTAGAAAATCCTCACTTATATCTAGAGATACAGGGTGGGTGAGCGCTATCATTTATTGGACAACTTCAAGAAGTTGCCCAGTAAAAGATATTACCCACGCACCTTGTGTTTGTAATATCCTGAGACCAGCCAGGCTCCAATATCTTATATCTAGGAATAGAATGGTTTGATTTCCAGTAACTTAAAATAAAACCCTGCCAACATGGTTGGCTCTTCCACTTCTGTTCAAAAAATATTTTTAAAAAGATTTAAAAATAGGTAGAATGGAGGTGAGTACATGTATTTTAAAATATTCTCTATTTGGATGCCCTGCTCATGTGTTTTTACCTATTTACATTATTTTGCTTTCCAGCAGCCACTTGGCCAATAAAAAAAAAAAAAAAAAAGGACATGAGAGAGCATGATTTACAGCCTGTACCTGGAAGACTCAGTAAATAAGCAAATAGTTGAAACAAACATTACTTGTAAAAAAAGTAACGTTAGTATATCTTTTTTCTGCTATCTCTTTATAGATTAATGGGGAATCAAAGCACTAATTTCAGCTGGTCTCAGGTTAAAAATTACATTTTGCACAATTTTTTTAAAGGAAACATCCCAGATCTTAATGGAAAAGCTCTTCTCTCTAAAACGTTTTCAGTTGTACTACCTCCTTTTTCCTTGCTGACGGTTTTTACGGATTTTAATCTTAAAGCCATATCTCACCTGCTGGTCTCCAGAAATAAAATATATTGCCATAGGTTAATTTATAGCCCAACCATTAAAACACGTGCATTGCTAGCAGGGATTATAGCTTTTCTTCAGTAAAACAGAATCAAAGAAAGAACTTGACTGGCACTTTAGAGTGCCATACTGTGTGAGTGTTTAAGACAATAAAATATATGAAAGTTTTGAAACATTAACAGTCACTTTTCATCCTAAGGATGAACTGATCCAACTCCTAATGTATCCAATCTCTTCTCTAAACTATTTATAGAGACTTAAAAACCAATTCCCCAGAGGTGTTTGGCTAGTTAGGTTTTGATTAAGTGGTGGATTCATAGGATTTAAGAACCTGTAATCCCCTAATGAAAGTGGAGCCGTGTATTGGACTAAACATTACATTCATGTTAAATGATGTGGGCTTGTGAAATTTTAGGGAAATAGAGAAACTTCTAGTTAGTGTATAAGGGAATATCACAGATAAGTGAATGTTCGAAAGATTCAGACTTGCTCTGATTTAAATACAAGAGGCTGAGCAAGCTGCTAATTGAGGAAAAATAAACCTCTGAATGAACTGGTATGCTCCTGAGCATCCAGAATTTAACGTAACAGGCCACGGTAATGTTTTAATCACAGTATGTACTTCAGGTTTCTGGATAATAAGCTCCCCTCCCCTCCTTCAAATGGAACATTGTAAAGAAAACAAACATGCCTCTGGAGTATCTTGTTATAAATATCTATAGTTTGACTCCAAACTTTAGCAAAGTTTTGACCACCTTCCTTCATCATATGAATATTCACTCTGATGTGAACTTGGGCCTGCCAGGGGCATTTGCGTAATTTTGAAAGCGTGAATTCCAGCTTTGTGTTGTCTGAACTAAACCAGATCCAGTAACCAGGTTGAAATGCAATCACCAACTCATTTTTGTTCTCTGCAGATGCATCACTATACAGTTCTGAACACTTAGATACCTGCCTCTGCCACAGACTTTCCTCTTGTGACAATTAAATCACTAGGACCAGGTCTCAATGTAACAAGATACACCTCTACCCCGATATAACGCTGTCCTCGGGAGCCAAAAAATCTTACCGTGTTATAGGTGAAACCGCGTTATATTGAACTTGCTTTGATCTGCCAGAGCGCGCAGCCCCGCCCCCCCGGTGTGCTGCTTTACTGCATTATATCCGAATTCATGTTATATCGGGTTGCGTTATATCGGGGTAGAGGTGTATCTACCATCTCAAAATGTAAAGCTTTTTGGATGATGACTATTAAAAATAAAAATGATGGCTAGAAATTATTTTCAAAGTCAAACACAGTTCTCACAGGAGAGCTTTTGAATTGGCCTAAGAGGTATTTGTTTGATAAAATAGTAATGCTGTTTAAATAATTTACTCAATCTCACAATGATTTATATGTGTAGATTAACTAGGAAATTAACATCACCATCTGCTTGTCTTTCTGTCTATTATGTAAATAAATAGTAGCATATTGCATGCCTTTTCTATTTTAAAGGATTCTTTTGTTGCTCAAAATAATTAACTCATGTCTGGTCACTCTAGATACAATTAGATGCATTAGTTTTGTGGGGGCTGGTGAGAATTCATCTCTAGTTTATCCAGTGGGCTGTTTTTAGGAATTAAATAATTAATGTAGCACTCTGCACATTCTCCTTAAATCCATGTGGACTAGGATTTGCATTTTAAAAATTGGTTTCAAAAGCATTCATCTACATAATTAGCAAATAAGAATTAGAATGAAAAAATATAAAGCTGTTTTTAATTGCCCACCCCCGCCTCTCCTAGCTAATTCACCTAGACACCCATCTTCAAGTTTTTTTAAAAAAGTAATTGTTTCCAGATTTTGGCATATATCCAGGAAGAGATTTTTCTGGATCCATTTCGAAGTCTACATCACAATTGTCTCCCTGTGGGCAGTCTTATCTGAAAGGTAGGGCCCTACCAAATTCCTGGCCATGAAAAATGCGTCACGGACTGTGAAATCTGGTCTTTAGTGTGCTTTTCTATACAGATTTCACAGGGGAGACCAGCATTTCTCCAATTGGGGATCCTTACCCAAAAGGGAATTGCAGGGGGGTCACAAGGTTATTTTAGGGGGGTCGCAGTACTGCTACCCTTACTTCTGAGCTGCCTTCAGAGATGGGTGGCTGGAGAGTGGCGGCTGCTGACTGAGAGCCCACTTCTGCAGGCAGCAGTGCAGAAGTAAGGGTGGCAATACTATACTATACCAGGCCATCCTTACTTCTGTGCTGTGGCTGGCAGTGGCTTTGCCTTCAGAGCTGGGTTTCTGGCCAGCAGCCGCTGCTTTCCAGCTGCTCTGAAGGCAGAGCCTCCACCAGCAGCCATGCAGAAATAAGGGCAGCAGTATCGTGACCCCCTCTACAACTCCTTTATGGGTCAGGACCCCTACAATTATAACACCATGAAATTTCCAATTTTAAAAATCCTGTGACGGTGAAATTGACCAATGTGGACCGTGAATTTGGTAGGGCCCTATTGCTAGGCCAAGAAATGAAAGATGATGGAGACTGAACTGCCTTCTTATTCTGAGAGGACTGGGTTCTCTTGGGCCAGGGTTGAGATACAGTGGTGGGGCAGTGTAAGGGAAGCCAGCGTTGTCACTGCATCTGTTCCATGATCAAGGACTTACTGCTCCAGCACTGTTAATTACTTCTTTCATGTCATGTTCACTTTTTTAAAAAGACACATAAAAATACAATAACCGGTAATGCTATTGTTAGGAATTGCACAGATGCAGCTGAGTACTGAAACTAAACTAAAAGACATTTCTGCTTTCACAACAGACCCATCATCACAATCAGCATAGATAAAAAGAGCTTTTGGTTTCTAACTTTAAATGGCAAAACTTTGAAACAGTTCGCTTCTGTAAAGACGAAATGTGAAAAGATTCTAGGAGCTATTAATTTGCAAATCAGATGCTTGAAGAACAGTGATCATTTGAAAGGCAGTTATCCCTATTAGGCACCTGGGAGACGTTAAACAAAAAAATAAGGTGTATTAATTTTTCTCCCCGGTCTTTACAGGACACAGATCTCAAGAATGCAATATTGTAGTGACCTGATTAGTATGTGCTTTTTGGGGGGCCAGGTTTTCAAAAGTGTCCACTATCCATTAAAAGAAGAACAGGAGGACTTGTGGCACCTTAGAGACTAACAAATTTATTAGAGCATAAGCTTTCGTGGACTATAGCCCACTTCTTCGGAAGTCTCACTGGAAGCTCCTGGAGGTCGAGTTCTTTTGAAAATCTGTCCCCTTTATTTTAAATGAGAAAAGTTGTGCTTGTCTCTGTGAAGGGGAGTATAGTTATCAAAATGATTTTAATTTGTGATCATCTCTTTGCAGTATAGCCCAGAGCACGTGGCAGGAGCAGGAGAAGACACTGACCCTTCTGAAATCACTTTTCCAGGATGTAATTGTGTTACTGCTTCCTGCGTGGCCAACACTTGTTCGTGTCTTCGCCATGGTGAAAACTATAACAGTTCATGCATCAAATACATAGGAAGTGAAGTGGACTATACTAGGCCTATTTTTGAATGCAATGCCATGTGCCGTTGTGGTGAGTTCTGTCAAAACAGGGTTATTCAGAGGGGTTTACAATTCAGACTTGAGGTGTTCAAGACTGTTAAGAAGGGGTGGGGTCTCCGCACACTGGAGTTCATACCTAAAGGAAGATTTGTGTGTGAATATGCTGGTGAAGTTCTATGCTTCCGTGAGGCATGTAGAAGAATACAGGCACAGACACCAGAGGATTCAAACTATATTATAGCTGTGAGGGAACACTTGTATGATGGACAGATCATAGAGACATTTGTTGATCCTATGAATACAGGAAATGTAGGCAGGTTCCTGAACCATTCTTGTGAGCCAAATTTATTTATGGTTCCTGTCCGAATTGACTCACTGGTGCCCAAACTGGCACTTTTTGCTGCTGCTGCTATCTCTGCTGGAGAAGAACTTTCATATGATTATTCTGGAAGATTTCTTAACGTACCGCTAATCAAAAGAGAGCAGGAAATGTTGGAGGAAGATGATGTAATGAAAAAACCCTGTTACTGTGGTGCTAAATCATGTGTTGGGTTTTTACCGTATGATAGCTCTCTGTGCTATACACCAGGCAAACAAACTTTTGGCAAAGTTTCTCAAGGAAACAGTTGTGCATAGGGATTCAAAAAGATTGACATCAGTGAATATAGCATCTATTGTCAGATGTGCCTAGACAAAAATTGAATGAGATTCCTTTGCCCTGCCACCCAAAAAAATAACCATAGGTCCCCCATCCCACATATACACACACCAACAGCTACAGCAAGGATAGAAGTATAATGGCATGATGTGGGAGGGGGAAATGGGAAATGCCATTCCACTTAGCTTCAAGTGAAAAGTTAAATGACTAATTAGGACTACAGGCAAAGGGTAGGAAGTAATTGTTATGTACACTATAATCTTACACAGTTAGAGGCATTTGGCCTTCATCTGTACATTTCACAGTACGCTCAGGACACTGAAACCATAACCTTACATCTCAGTAAGGGTTAATACTTAACACATAGGTGAAGGAGAAGTCAAAGCAGAGGCACTGATGGTGCAAAATAAACAGAAGCTAAGGCAGGTGTAAAGTGCTGCAGATGAGTATGTTAGATAATATATTCAAAAGGGGAAAATGCTGTTTTCAGGAGAGGAGATTGCAATCTGCCTTATTGCTCTGACTGTTCGAGCCAGCCTTGCACAAAAGCCAAGACAGAGTTCCTGACAATATCCTCAAATAACACACTGAACAATCTCCTGTACTCTCAACTTGATTCCAGGTGGATGATACAAGAGATAGCTAAACGGGTGACCTACTGCCACAGCTAACCTTTTCCTGTTAAAACAAGAAAGCTTAGGATAACTTGCCATAGCTCAAAGATTTTGATAAGGCCTGTTTCAGTGAACAGTGAGGTATATAGAAACAGATTGAATTAGAATGGTAGGTGCAGAAAAGTGGAAATTTGGGGAGATGAGTTAGATAAGGGAAAAAATCACTTGAGAATTAAAGCTTGAGGAAAAAATCAAGGTGACAGGTGCAAATTAACAGTGGCATTTACAAAGGTGGCACCCGTTTTTGTTTTTTTAAACTGTGTGCATTAATAGCTCCTGCAAACTAAAACTATTTAAAACATGAATTCCCTGTTTGTCCAGCCTGTCTGAAAATTAGGACTCACTTATAGCTATAGCTGAGCCCCTCCTACTTCATGACCAACTTTTACAGAAAAATATTAAGTAAAATGCATTCCCTCCTCCCCATCTTTTGCCAGCTCTTCCTACTTACCCCTCTTGACTGTAACTGGGTAGGGAGCTAATTCTGTTCCATGAACACTTGACGTTGCATTTTCTCCTCTGTTCCCTGAAATGGACTCTGTACCCCAGGCCTTCTCTGTGATCATTTTAATTTTTTTTCTGAACTGACTCCATCTCAAGGCATAGGCTCAGTTAGCCACAAGAGGGCACCAATATAGATGTATAGTCATCCCTTCGAAATAGCATGCATCACCTCAGTGATGCTTCCAACTGATGTTGGCAAAATAACTGAGGGAGTGGGCAGAAAATCCAAATTCCATTCTGCAGAGTAGCACAATACACTACCTGTGTGTCTGGCAAAACAGACGGAAGTGGTAGATGCTAATATACAACACCTTTACGAACAAGCATCTGTTTCTGCACTGTTCAACAGATGGTAGAGAGAAGAGGGGGTTTTGTTTTGTTTAATATTAGTCCTTTCAAGCATTTTTTATGCAGTCAGATGTTTTATTGTTAGCCTTTTTTTTCCCTCTCAAACCAAATTGATTTCTGCCTCTGGTTATAAGGAACAGGGAAACAGAGTTTTGCCATTGCAGATAGGAGGGATAGTGGTGCTTAGAAGATACATAAAGTAATGGCTACACTTTCCAGCTAAAAACTACAAAATGTTTAGCAGTACGAGTTAAGAAAGTTGCTAGTTTTAGGCCAGTTGTTGTGGACAAGTGACTGTCACAAAAAAAATCCACTAGTGCTATTACTGATTTTCATCAGTCCATAACCATTTGATGGTGTCCGAGTACCTCCTCTCTTTCTCCCTTAGAAGTGATTGCTTCTGCTAGCGGTGTATGGTGGAGATCTACGTAAGAGAAACTTCCTATTTGTTGCTGTCCTGAATAAGTAAAGGGCTGAAAAGGTGGCAACCAACTCACCTATCCCAGGAGATGAAATGCACAATCACAGCACTTCCATTTTGGGGGGCGCGGGGGCAGAGGGAATCTTACTGTAAGTAAGCGGGATATTCCAATTGAATTTCTATCACATCTAGTTCTTTAATTTTGAGATTAACATTTTTATGCATGAGGCATCTGCACAAAAGAACCACTCTCGCCCCATCCTAAAACTGATCTTAACTGGACATTGCAGATGGAAGGGTTGAAAATGTAGAACATGGAAGATGTTTTAGAACCCAGGAAAAGACCATACTTTGTTCCTTTTCGGCAGTTAGGCCCCAATCGGGGTAGAGTTACTCACATACCCTAGTTTAGAAAAGGAAAAGGGTCTCTCACTCCTTTCCTGTAATTCCATACAGTCTTCGGTTGTAGCATGCTTTAAGTCCAGTCTGTTTCAGTCGGGCTAGTTTAAAGATTTAGTGTTCCTCTACTATCTTCTACCCCCAGTTTCCAGTGTTTCCCCCCTAAGATCATACCACTGGGAAACAGACACTACCTTTGCGGTAAAATTTGAAAGGCAAGTAGATTCATCTATGCATTGCTTAGTTCTGTCTGCTGGACTAGCTTATTTTTAATGTTTTGTCTTGCTGTTGGGTGGTGAGGTGGTACAACATTGATTAATCTATTAAAGTCAGTTTCTGAGACCAGGATGGATGGGTCAGTTGCTAGTGGATCAAATTTAATTATAATTAAAAAAAAAATCTAAACCTGCATTTTACAACACAGAAAGATCCATTCAGTCCATAAAAATTATTTCAATGTATGCTTTCTGTAATACTATATGTACTCTGTGGCTCACTTACTGTCTTGTTCAACTTACTGAGTAACTCATGTTATCATAATTCACTGTACACTGTGTTTATTAAATATCACAAAGTGTTCAAAACGTACATGTCTGTCCACTAACTTTGTAAACAAATTTGCTTTATTCAGGTACTTTGGAGTATTTGCTGGTAAAGTATTGCAATGGTGGAGCACCTTCAGCAAAGTGGCTACTGTTTACTGCAGTGACTCAGAAGCAATATTGCATATTCAAATTTTGATTTTCAGCAGTAAGAGGATGGCGTGAATGGTTCCACGCCATGCAAACATTTCACAATGGGATAAGGAATACAATTCTATGAAACTAGTTCCAGTTCCACATGCTGCTACTTTTCTAACTGGAAAAGATGGTCAGTGACAACACCCTTCACAATCTGTTCCTGTAAGTCCTGGACATTTGAGAAACAACCAGTGAGGGGGCCACTTATGTCAAACACTTAAGGAAAGAACACTAAGAGTAGATGTTATTAAAAGGTAGTTCTGTGTCTGTTTAATTTTTTGTTTTTATGTCCCATGCTGCTGAGTGAGACACTATTGTACTTTTAAGTTTGTAAGAAGTATGTATTTCCAATCATACTATTTGTCCTGTTGGAGCAGTCAGCACCTAAACAGTTAATTTAAATACACATTCTAATTTGCTACCCTTGTTTTTCTGAAGGGTGTTGGCCAAATAGCACCTACAGTGACAAAATGCACCTTCACTGTTTTCCAGCTGTTAGTTTGCAAAAGGAGTATCTCATCCACCCATCTTGGAAAGGGAAGAGCTTAGATTTTGCTCACTGTTATTGAGATGCCAGTCTTTCCCTAGTTTCCCATTTTGACAACCCACACCCTCCCTATCCTCACTAGGAGTTGAATGAACATATTTTTGCATTTCTAAAGTGCCTTTCAGCCAAGGATACCCAAGCGTAAGGCTTCAAGTGTTGCCAGAGAGCACCCTATTGCCAGAAGTCAGGCCCCAAACAGAAGAAACACTGCACAAATGAGAAACAATGTGATCATTTTTCCCATTCAGTAGCCACTACTGGCTCTCTTGGCTAGCTGCATCCAAGACAATGAAACAAAACATACAAGGGTGTTGCTATAGTTCCCATACAGTTGGCATGTGTTTGTGTGTGTGGCAAGGGGTGTTTTTGCTTTTGCACATTGCTGTCTTACTTGGCAGGCCAAGTTTGGGAAAACCATGTGCCACAACGGAAAGACTAAGGAGCTGCCTAATCTTATCATAACAGTGCAACCACTGCCTGTTTCAGAGCACTGGTTCAGTAAATGTGATATAGCAGACAGAGGAAGTGTCCTTTCATTTTATTTGTTACATGTCTCCATTGTTTTTCCTTATCAGCATTAGATCCCATTACTTTAGCTAATAATCCTTTTCTGGGAGGGGACCCACTTTCCCCAATTAAAAAAAAAAAAAAAAAAAAAAAAAGA